CCGATACCGATGCTGCGTGCCTCGATTATCAGGAAGCCGGGCGGCAGATCATGACCCATCGCCTGGCTTCCTGATAGAACACCGGCTTCATTGGCGAGGCTGCCCGGCTTCCTGACCAATCAGGAAGCCGGAAGGAGGATCATGAGGTGCCATCTGGCTTCCAGATTGGTCAGAAAGCCAGGCTGGCTAGCAACAGGTGTAGCTGGCTTTCCAGTGAATCAGGAGTCACGTCATGAGCCACCTCCCTGATTGGCTCGGAAGCCGGCTTCACTTTGTCCTAGGCAGCCTGGCTTCCTGACCAATCAGGAAGCTGGGTCATTACATGCCACCCAGCTTCCCGATTGGTTAGGAAGCCAGGCTACCTAGCCATTAAAGGAAGCCAAAAGGTAGGACATACCCCACCACCCTAGCTTCCTGATTGGAAAGGAAGCCGGCTACATGCTCGCTCGGCACTGCCGTCAGAAGGAGATCTCCCTCTGACCGGAAGTTCTGGTATGGGAGCATTTGGGCAAGTATGAGTACTCGGCCAAATACTCTGTATCGGCACCGATAGTAGTATCAGTGCATCCCTAATATAAATAGGTTTTAGTCCAGTAGACAAGGAGGGGGATTTATCAAAACTTGAGCAGTCAAAATCTGGAGCAGCCGTAAATGGCAACCAATCAGCTTCTCTCTTATACTCAAATCTCAACTGAACACACTGAAAAGAGAAGCTGATTGGTTGCCATGAGCAACTGCTCCAGATTCTGTCTGCTCCAGTTTTGATAAATTCCCCTCATAATTTTAGGGCCACAAATGTAATGAAGTGGCCATAATGGGATTGTGTCACCCCCTGCGCCCACTTAATTTAACAGTAGGTTCAGTCCCAGTAAGGTACAGCTTTTCTAGAACTTTCTGTGGGCTGTTTCCGGTTTCCCCATTTCGTCTGTTTCAGGTTACCCTTGCTAGCTGTCACTTCAACTCTGCCCGGAGATTGCTGTCACTAGGAAGATCTCAGGACTAACGGTGGTCGTGATTAGTTACCTTTGAGGCTGGGTTCACACCTAGGCGTTTTTCCGCGCTTTCATACTCGCCGAAAAACGCTCAAACAGGGAAATGCCATTATTTTCAATGTGCATGGTTCCCATTTGGGCGGTTTTCCGCGAGTACGAACGCGCGGAAAACCGCCCTATGCACAAAGAAGTACATGTACTTCTTTGGGGCGTTTTGGTCGGGCGGTTCCATTGGGATGCAGCCAAGTATCCCTTGGAAACGCGCGTTTTTCGCGTGTTTTTTTTACCGCGATTTGCGCATATTCAATCCGCCTAGGTGTGAACCCAGCCTAACTGGTTTAAAAAAAAGTTTATGTGTGTATATATTTTATGGTTGAAGTTTAAAGAGTGTTGTTGAATTTAAATAAATAATATATATTTTGCTTTTAACCCCAATAAAGGGCCGCGGCCAATATTTTCCACTAATACCGTTGTATAGTCTCCATTTATTTTGTTATATATTTCTAATGTATTCATAGGTTTTGTGGGTGCTGTGGGGTCTACAATCCCATGTACAAAAAACAAAACAGTTTTGCAGTATGCGATGATACCTTTCTAAAGGTGCCCATATACCTTGCGATTATCGTACTCTAATCGCAGGAAATCCCGCGATCGTACTCTAATCGCAAGGTGTATGGAAGGCGTGCGACCGTTTCTACTGTACGGTCGCACGTCTTTTGTCGAAGGAGCATGCTAGAAAACCCGCCGAGAATCGTACGTTAGTGGTGCGCTCGTTTGACAACTGCGGAACGGGCCGGTGTGCGCACGCGCACACTGCCCGTTCAGCATTGCGGTCATCGGAAGCCCACCCTGCTTTCGATGATCGCAAGTACGATCTGCCTGTCCAAGATGGGCGGATCGTACAAGCTTTTAATTAGCTTACAACCTTCGCAAGACAAAAGTCTTGCGATGGTTGTAAGGTGTGTGGGCACCTTTAGATTATATTCAAAAGACAATCTTCCTCGATGGTGTCTAAAGCAGTAGTAATCAACACAAGTTGTTTTTTGACCCCCCCCCCCAAAATAAAAAAGTTAATTGTTAGGACACACACCAAAGTTTAGCACAATTTATCTTAATCCTGTCCTCAAGGAACACTATAGTAGGGCAACACACACAGGCAGAGATTTCATCACCAGGGTGGCCCTAGAATGACATGGTTGTAAGACAAGATTCTTCTAGCTGGCATGTGGCCAAATTAATATCACTTAAAGAAAAGAAAAAATGATAAAAGCATAAGGAAGAGGAATCTAATTACAGAACGGGCTTAATTTAAAGCCAGCCCCACTTATCTACTAATGAAGAGACAGCTGCTCAGGAGCTATTAATAAAATAACCAATTTTTTTGTCTCTTGAGAACCTAAATGGAAAAAAAAAAAAGGCAAAAAAACTACAAAGTTCATGAAGGGTTAACTACCACAATGGAGCAAGACAACCATGGGCTGCGGGACTTTTATTGGGTAAAAGATAGTGAAATCATTATATTATACCCCCCCTCCCTCTGCTAGTGCACATGATTTTTGCTTTTAAATTAATAAAATATTTTAAACATGTTGATGATTAATATGTAAAAATATGTTTTTATATTTTCCCCCCTTTGCTGGTGTGCATGATTTTGGCTTCTACTACTGGACCCGATATTAACCCTTCTACTACTGGACCCGATATTAACCCTTCTACTACTGGACCCGATATTAACCCTTCTACTACGGGACCTAATATTAACCCTTCTACTACTGGACCCGATATTAACCCTTCTACTACTGGACCCGATATTAACCCTTCTACTACGGGACCTAATATTAATCCTTCCATCTACTTGGATTTCTCACAAGACGTTCATGGTTTCAAAGCAACACAATTACATTATCAATGAGGACTCATTCTGCATCTGCATCATCTCCAGCCTCTGCTTCCCCTGGATCTCAGCCCATAGCTGTCCTCCTCTGCACCATGCATGCCTCTGCAGTATACATCCATTCATTCCTCTGCATGCTCACACTGCCAATGTCACTCTTACCTCTATGGCAGCTCAGCAAGAGCAGGGCGGCTGTTATCATCACTGTGTACATCTTCATTTCTCTGTCTCTCCTCCCTGACCTCCTCACACTCTCTCTTTGTCTCCTTTATATAGAGAGACCCACCCAGATACAGTTGATGTAAGAAGGTGGGGGAGGGATGGGGAAGGGACTACACCAAGGAAAAGAAACTGAAAATTGTACCTTGGTTTCAAGTTCTCACCAAAACATATGACGGAGGTCACAGAGCGATGACAATTTTCATCTGTAGTTTACATCCATAATATACAGAAATATATGGTGATATGACAGTAGGCAGAAATCCAATCACACGTATTTAAATAGCACCAACAGTTTACGCAGCACTTTAAATAGTTGTACATTTACATCAGTCCCTACCCTCAAGGAGCTTACAATCTTTGGTCTCTATCTCACATACATAGAGGGCCAACTTAGAGAGGAGCCAATAAACCTACTAGCATGTCTTTGGAGTGTGGCAGGAAACCCTCGCAAGCACAGAGAGAACATGCTAACTCCTTGTTGATAGTAGTGACCTGGCAGGGATTCAAACCAGGGACCTCCAGGGCTGCAAGGCAGAAGCACTAACCACTACACCACTGTGCTGTTTTGTTTTTTTCATATTCTTATATCTACAGCTTTCGTCAAAACAATTCCTGCCATGAGGGTCATTGTTCAAGGATTTCTTCTAAAAGGGTGACAACTGTGTTCCGATTGTGCTCCCGGGTTGTCACACTCTTACAATGCACCACTGATAAGAGATTACCTTGCCCAACATACATTGCGCAAGTGTGGTCCACCATTGTCACTATCAGGAAAGCAATGATGTGCAACCAACACTGAGTGCATGTAGGCGCGACTGCAAGAGGATGGAGGAGATCAGCAGCGTTGTGACCGAAAACAAAGGGTGCACAAAGTGACAACTGTTTATTACAGGCAGTAGAAAATGAAATGTTATCCACTATAGCCGCCATTTACACTTGTGTAGTGTGTGAAAGTGCGCCAAATCCCGCAATGCTGAAAGTGCTCATGCACGTGTCGCGCTTGCAGTGCCATTCATTGTTAAAGTCATCTCTAATGCAACAAAAAGATGCCCACGGCATGGCTGGAATATACTGGAGCTCGAAGCTCCCAAAGGTGCATGAGCTTCTTTGCCGCATTAGTTACTGAAGCTGTCATTATTGAGCCACCCCATGCAGTGGCGTCACAAGGAGGGTGCAGCCCGCACCTGGGTGTCACCATTGCGGGGGTGACACCAAAATGACTCAGTAATTTTGTTGTCACCCTCTCTAAAAAGTCGGGCACTCAGTCACGGACCGAGAGCCCGACAGTGTCAGGAGAGAGGAGGGTACCCGGCGGCATACCTCATCCCGCCGGGTGAACGTCCCCTCCTCTCTCTGCCGGCGTCCATGGACCCGATATTAACCCTTCTACTACTGGACCCGATATTAACCCTTCTACTACTGGACCCGATATTAACCCTTCTACTACTGGACCCGATATTAACCCTTCTACTACTGGACCCGATATTAACCCTTCTACTACGGGACCTAATATTAACCCTTCTACTACTGGACCCGATATTAACCCTTCTACTACGGGACCTAATATTAACCCTTCTACTACTGGACCTAATATTAACCCTTCTACTACTGTACCCGATATTAACCCTTCTACTACTGGACCCGATATTAACCCTTCTACTACGGGACCTAATATTAATCCTTCCATCTACTTGGATTTCTCACAAGACGTTCATGGTTTCAAAGCAACACAATTACATTATCAATGAGGACTCATTCTGCATCTGCATCATCTCCAGCCTCTGCTTCCCCTGGATCTCAGCCCATAGCTGTCCTCCTCTGCACCATGCATGCCTCTGCAGTATACATCCATTCATTCCTCTGCATGCTCACACTGCCAATGTCACTCTTACCTCTATGGCAGCTCAGCAAGAGCAGGGCGGCTGTTATCATCACTGTGTACATCTTCATTTCTCTGTCTCTCCTCCCTGACCTCCTCACACTCTCTCTTTGTCTCCTTTATATAGAGAGACCCACCCAGATACAGTTGATGTAAGAAGGTGGGGGAGGGATGGGGAAGGGACTACACCAAGGAAAAGAAACTGAAAATTGTACCTTGGTTTCAAGTTCTCACCAAAACATATGACGGAGGTCACAGAGCGATGACAATTTTCATCTGTAGTTTACATCCATAATATACAGAAATATATGGTGATATGACAGTAGGCAGAAATCCAATCACACGTATTTAAATAGCACCAACAGTTTACGCAGCACTTTAAATAGTTGTACATTTACATCAGTCCCTACCCTCAAGGAGCTTACAATCTTTGGTCTCTATCTCACATACATAGAGGGCCAACTTAGAGAGGAGCCAATAAACCTACTAGCATGTCTTTGGAGTGTGGCAGGAAACCCTCGCAAGCACAGAGAGAACATGCTAACTCCTTGTTGATAGTAGTGACCTGGCAGGGATTCAAACCAGGGACCTCCAGGGCTGCAAGGCAGAAGCACTAACCACTACACCACTGTGCTGTTTTGTTTTTTTCATATTCTTATATCTACAGCTTTCGTCAAAACAATTCCTGCCATGAGGGTCATTGTTCAAGGATTTCTTCTAAAAGGGTGACAACTGTGTTCCGATTGTGCTCCCGGGTTGTCACACTCTTACAATGCACCACTGATAAGAGATTACCTTGCCCAACATACATTGCGCAAGTGTGGTCCACCATTGTCACTATCAGGAAAGCAATGATGTGCAACCAACACTGAGTGCATGTAGGCGCGACTGCAAGAGGATGGAGGAGATCAGCAGCGTTGTGACCGAAAACAAAGGGTGCACAAAGTGACAACTGTTTATTACAGGCAGTAGAAAATGAAATGTTATCCACTATAGCCGCCATTTACACTTGTGTAGTGTGTGAAAGTGCGCCAAATCCCGCAATGCTGAAAGTGCTCATGCACGTGTCGCGCTTGCAGTGCCATTCATTGTTAAAGTCATCTCTAATGCAACAAAAAGATGCCCACGGCATGGCTGGAATATACTGGAGCTCGAAGCTCCCAAAGGTGCATGAGCTTCTTTGCCGCATTAGTTACTGAAGCTGTCATTATTGAGCCACCCCATGCAGTGGCGTCACAAGGAGGGTGCAGCCCGCACCTGGGTGTCACCATTGCGGGGGTGACACCAAAATGACTCAGTAATTTTGTTGTCACCCTCTCTAAAAAGTCGGGCACTCAGTCACGGACCGAGAGCCCGACAGTGTCAGGAGAGAGGAGGGTACCCGGCGGCATACCTCATCCCGCCGGGTGAACGTCCCCTCCTCTCTCTGCCGGCGTCCATCACCAAGATGGCCACCGGCAGGCGTCAATAAGATGACCACGCATGCGCAATGACCTCACGGCGGGGTGTCACCAGGTCTCCGCTCCAGGTGACACCCAGCCTCGGGACACCCCTGACCCCATGCACGATGCACGTCAACCTTGACGCACCATAGCACACTACACAAGTGTGAATGGGTGCTTAGTAGACATGTGCACGGCAAAAAAAAAATGTTTTCTGACTAAACAAATGAAAACGAAAAACATTTTTATTCGTTTTGTCAAAGAAAACAAATGTTTATGCTGTTTTGGATTTGGAGGCAACGAGCCTCCGAAACTGCTTACACTGAAACTGCAAAACAAGCGACAGCCATATCGGCCGCCGGCGGGTTCTGCGCATGCCCGCCGCTATCTTTGAGTGCAACTTGGTATACACTGAGATGGCGGCGCCAGCATGTTCGGGCGCCAACATCTTGGTGTATACCAAAATATACTCAAAGATGGCTCCGTGCATGCGCAGAACGCACCGGCGGCCGATATGGCTTAGGGTGTGATGTCACCGCCATGTGATGTCAAGCACTCCGCCGCGAAGATGGCGGTGAGCATGAACAGAACACGTCGACGGCCAATATGGCCGTGCCCGTTCTAAAAACGAATTCACGTATGCCTGAATATAGTTTTTGTATATATATACGGGCATGTTATAAATTTGTTATTTCGGATTCGGACGAACCGCTGAATCAACAGAGTTTTGCTGATTTGCAGGTTCGTCCGAATCCGAATGCACATGTCTAGTGCTTAGGGTGGAGTTGCAGCTTAATGCACACTAATGCCCCGTAGAACCCCATACAAGCTTAGCACTCCATACCAGAACCCTGTCTAGGATAAAGTTGGGCATGGACTTTGTGGGGGACCCCAAAATTCATTTTTACTAAGCAACTTCTTTTTTGCAAATGGGTAGCCAGGAATACCATGTACCCCTATGTCTGTGAGGCTAGGTTCACACCTAGGCGATTCAGATGCCGAGCTGACTTCGTGCGGTTGTCACACGTTTTCGATCGTGCCACTGTTCATTGTAAACTGCGCGATTGTCGTGATTATTTTTCAATGCAAAGAGATGTCTATGGGACAAACCGCGTGACAACCGGCCGAAAATAGCTCCTGCACAGATTCGCATTGAAGTCAATAGAGGCTGCTCACACCTTTGCGGTTTGTCGCGAGACTGAAATCGCCTGTCGCGCTACAAATCGCAAAGGTGTGAGCAGGCTCCATTGACTTCAATGCAAATCTGTGTTTTGCGCAATATCGCGCGACTCCCGCGCAATGAATCGCCTTGTTGTGCACCGGCCCTTAAGGTTCTCATTCATCCGGGTCATGGTATATCTCTAAAAAATTAATCAAAGCAACTGGACTCGCTGTATTTTTCTTGAAGACATTTCACTGGTTAGTCTTCAAGAACAATACAATACAAGTCCAGTTGCCTTGATTAATTTTTTTACATATATACTGTATGTACCCCTTACTTCACATCAGTGGGCTGGATATCTGGGGGCCCCCTTAAACCCAGGCATGTTTAGATCATCACTGGTATGCAATGGCAGCATGACATGCACATTGTCTATCAATACATTTCTATGGTACTCTAGGGTGAGAGATCCATGCACTTACGTTCCCGGCTTGACCCCCTGTGACCTTTATATGAGCATGTCACTCTTGATAATGGATCATTTTTCATAGTCCACTTGCCTATTCTATTTTATGGCTGTCTAGGTCCTTCTGTGTCATGGTGTGTCCATAGTCACCGATCCAGAAAGTGATCTGCAAAATGAAATCTAAAATGCAATATATAAACAGTTGTCACCAAAACAAGAGGGTTTAGATACACAGGTTTTCTGACCACTACAGGTTTTTTGATCTTCAACCAAATCCATTTGGTTCTATCTGCTCTATCCCCCACAGACATGATATCAGTGGTGTCACAAGGGGGTTGCAGGGGGTGCGACCCGCACCCGGGTGACAATATTAGAGGGGTGACACCGAAATGACTGGCAGTCATTTTGGTGTCACCCCCTCCAAATATGTCTGGCACTTGGTCATGGACCGAGAGCCCGACACTGTCAGGAGAGAGACCCAGCGACATACCTCATCCCGCCGGGTGAACATCCCCACCTCTCTCTGCCGACGTCCGTCACCAAGGATGTCATGGCGGGGTGTCACCTGGTCCCCGCTCCTGGGTGACACCCCACCCGGGGACGCCCCTAATGATATTGTCTCCTGATTCTACCAATTTCACCCAGACAGGACAACTGGCATCCTTTATCTGTGAGCCCTCATAAGTGTTGGTGGTGGGGTCGGTGAGTGTGACGGAAGCTTCCGTTACTGTTATTTGGAGGGGACTGCAGGTTTGCCTCCTTCCCACTGACTATGGGTCTTGGCTATGGAGGGGGTTCTATTAATTAGGAGAGGAGTTTGCCATAGTGCTTTGGGTTTGGTGAGTGGTGTTGGTGGGCTTGGGTGGTGGGGTTGGTGAGTGTGACAGAAGCTTCCGTTACTGTTATTTGGAGGGGACTGCAGGCTTGCCTCCTTCCCACTGACTATGGGTCTTGGCTATGGAAGGGGCTCTATTAATTAGGAGAGGAGCTTGCCATGGTGATTTGGGCTTTTTGATTTGGGTAAGTGGGGTTGGTGGGTTTGGGTGGTGGGGTTGGTGGGACTGGGTGGTTGGGTTGGTGAGCGGAAGCCTCCGTTACTGTTATTTGGAGGGGAGTGCAGGCTTTCCATGGTGCTTTGGGCTGTGTGGGACCCTTTGTTTATGCTCCATAGATCAGGAGGACCCCAGATACCTATTTTCCATTTATGTGGGAGGTACATGGGGAAGCCCAGACTGTGTTTCCCTATACCTCAGTATCCTGCCCTGGACCAGACTGTGGACTTGTATTGGGAGACCCCTTCCGTGGTTCCTCAGTCACCCCTTATGTATAAGCCCCCTGTGCTCATCATAGGTCCATGGTGTGAATTAATCAATCAGCATATGAGGGGTTAACTCTGCCCCTGGTCCAATTTATGAGAATCTCTCTTTTCTGGAATGAGGGTGGATACAGGTTTCCTGGCATCAGCTATTGTTTGTATTCCCTGTTGTAATTAGGCTTAGGCGATAATCCCTCACTTTGTTTAATCAACTCCAGACTGTTAGATACCGGGAATTAATCTATTGTCCCTCTGGAGTGAAAAGACCTTGCCCTGTGTTTGATTGTTTATTTAATTTCCTCCTGTGCCATACCTGTCTAGGGGGAAGCAGGGGCGTAACTACAGATCATAGGGCCCCATAGCAAAATTTTAATAAGGGTCCAGACTCCATGGCAAACCCTTGACAAATCTAAATCAAGGACAGGTAGCAGGAGAGCTTTGTGCATATTCTCTTCCTGTACATCTGAAATCAACTCTTCTTGATCGGAAGTGCCATAAACCAGGGGTGCCCACAAGGTCGATCGCGATCTACCAGTCGATCGCGTAGCGATCACTGGTAGATTGCGATGTCCTCACCTCCTCCGGTGGGGCTTCTCTGGATCCCCGCTGCTCTCCCCATCTGTATGCAGCGGGGATCCAAGAAGAAGTGAAGGAACCTGCAGCCGGCGGCGGGGGAGGGCGGAGCCGCTGTCACAGACAGAACTAATGCCGAGCGGTGAGGAGAGAGAGAGACTATTTACTA